CTCCAAAAATTCTTTAAAATGAGGGGAAAGGAAACTTGGGATTTCTATTCAGTTTATAGGTTGTTGAAATTAAAAACTGTACTCGGGATTAGAATGTTGAGGGAAAAAGAACCAGAAAACTGTCACAGTGAATCTTACCCCCAATTTTTAGAGGTAAATACAACAAAATCCAAAAGGATTGTGAAAAAGTGCAATTCCCTTAAAATTTTTTTAAAACCCGCATGAACTGTATCACAAATAGGCAACAAGAGCATTTTACCCCTCCCTGGGAAATGGTTATTTAATATCCATACCTACAAGTCCCTCCCCAAAAAGCTCATTGGGTTGTAATCCCTTCCCCTTTAAAACTTTGTTTTAAAACAAAGCTCAAGAAGAAAATTTTTCCCCCTAAACTGGGAAATAACAAGGGGATCACCAAAATTTATAAAACTGATGGGTCTAAAAGGGAGTTTCTGGAGGGCTGCATCTGCTCTTGTTGCCACCCTCCCTAGTTAAAAAGATAATAAATTTTTTGAGTTAGGCAAAAATTAACAACGGGCGTCTACACTGCAAACCAAATTGTTTTGCAACCCAAAAGGCGCTAAAGCTAATTTGACACTGAGCTTGACTCTACACATTATGATTCTATTCATCTTAAAGGGTTTTGGGCTCTATAATGACCCCAACAACATGCTCATTGGGAAGCCAGGTATAGATACTCAAAAATTAGGGACAAAGAATTTAAATGTACAATTGCTAGGGACCCATTGCTGTATAGTCCTTGGCTTACGCTTCTTTTTTGATTTAATAATAATATGGACCATCACAATTGGATTATCCCTTTATGATAAAGTTGATAGTTTTCCAAGAAGGTACGAGAAGGAAATGAGAATAAACTTTGGGAAATATTTGGGGAAAATGTATAGCCTTTTGGGGTTAGCGCTTCTTTTTATTTTAATAAAATTAGGAATAAATTAGGAGGAAATTAATGAAAATGATTTTTTAAGGAAAGCGTTTAAAACCTGAGTAGATCTATAACCCATATGATAAAATGAACGTAAAAAGTATGTTTTGGAAACAACTTGCAAGTAAAAAAAACGGGCTGATTGTGTAGAATGTAATAATACCGACAAGATAGATTAAGACAATATGCAACATCTGGGGATCTTTTTTTTTAACGTTTCGCCATCCATGCTTATCAAACAAATTCAGGACATAACTTGAAGACAGAGAACTATGTACAGAATTTGTATTGATAAAGCCACTGGAGGGAAACGTCTCAATAAAATACCCAATGTTGATATGTGTCTTAATCTCAACTGACTGATGTTTTAGTGGCCCGGCTTAGGGTTGGTTAAAGTCTTCTGGCAGTTTGGGAGACACCAAAAGTGATCAAACTAAATGAAAATTATGTTATCAGGCATATGGTCACTCTCTTGAACACATGTCTTAATTGTCCACTTATTGGGGAATACAGAGACCGTATAAAAACCCCTATGTGACATATAAAGATATCTTATTAAGAAAATAAGATACCAAAAAACAAACAAATTTCCTAAATTTGTTTGTAACAGATAATGAACTATAGATATGTGATTAAATCCAATGTTTTTAAGTCTTAAAATAATGGCCTGACTTTTGCAAATCACTTGTTTGCACAAACTGCTAAATGCCCCAAAACATGTGTGGGAAATTTTAGCAGTAAATCGAAACCAAAACCCAGTCATTGTGTGTCTACAAGCCCCCGGATGCAAATCCCAGCAATTCCAGGGAACAGCTGTTAAAAATGACCACTGTCTGGAAAACCTTTCCCGCCCTGCACCCCAAAATCTTTCTCCCGGGGGGTTTCAACTTAAAGGGACCCAAAATGGAGGAAAATACAAATAAATTTTCAGTAATTTAAACCCCGGAGGGAGCCTGATGAAAATCACACTCACACGAGCTTTTAAAACTCTGCACAAAATTCAATTTAAAACCAGCAAATAATAGAGCCTACTAGACGGGAGAATACACTAGACCTCATCTTCACTAACAATGATGATCTGATAAGAAATATCACCATATCAAAAACAATATACTCAGATCACAACATAATTGAGGTTCAGTCATGTATGCGCGGAGCCCCAGACCGACATAATGAGATTAGTCACGAGGGAGCATTCACCAAATTCAACTTCAATAACAAAAACATAAAGTGGGACCAAGTAAACCAAGTCCTAACCGATATAAGCTGGGAAGATATACTAAGCAACACAGACCCCAACTTATGCCTAGAACAGATTAACTCGGTAGCACTCGATGTATGCACAAGGCTTATTCCTCTAAGAAAAAGGAGGAGTAGATGTAAAACAGAAAGAGACAGGCGCTCCCTTTACAGGCGACGGAAAAGAATAACAGAGCGGCTAAAAGAGGTCAATATATCTGAAATGCGTAGGAGACACTGGTCAGAGAAATAGCAAGCATCGAACTTAAGCTAAAAGAATCCTTTAGGAGTCAGGAATCAGCGGGAAGAACTAAAAGCCATAAATGAAATCGAAAGAAACCCAAAGTATTTTCTTCTCCTATGCCAAATCAAAATCGAGAACAACGTCCAGTATTGGGCCCCTACTTAAACAAGATGGGTCCTACACAGATGACAACAAGGAAATGAGTGAGCTACTCAAGTCCCAATATGACTCAGTTTTTAGCAAGCCGCTAACCAGACTGAGAGTCGAAGATCAAAATGAATTTTTTATGAGAGAGCCACAAAATTTGATTAACACAAGCTATCCGATGTTATCCTGACGCCAAATGACTTCGAACAGGCGATAAATGACATGCCCATGCACTCTGCCCCAGGGCCAGACTCATGGAACTCTGTGTTCATCAAGAACTGCAAGAAGCCCCTATCACGAGCCTTTTCCATCCTATGGAGAGGGAGCATGGACACGGGGGGTCGTCCCACAGTTACTAAAAACAACAGACATAGCCCCACTCCACAAAGGGGGCAGTAAAGCAACAGCAAAGAACTACAGACCAATAGCACTAACATCCCATATCATAAAAATCTTTGAAAGGGTCCTAAGAAGCAAGATCACCACGCATCTAGAAACCCATCAGTTACACAACCCAGGGCAACATGGGTTTAGAACAGGTCGCTCCTGTCTGTCTCAACTATTGGACCACTACGACAAGGTCCTAAATGCACTAGAAGACAAAAAGAATGCAGATGTAATATATACAGACTTTGCAAAAGCCTTCGACAAGTGTGACCATGGCGTAATAGCGCACAAAATGCGTGCTAAAGGAATAACAGGAAAAGTCGGTCGATGGATCTATAATTTCTTCACTAACAGAACACAGAGAGTAGTCGTCAACAGAGTAAAGTCCGAGGCAGCTACGGTGAAAAGCTCTGTTCCACAAGGCACAGTACTCGCTCCCATCTTGTTCCTCATCCTTATATCCGACATAGACAAGGATGTCAGCCACAGCACCGTGTCTTCCTTTGCAGATGACACCCGAATCTGCATGACAGTGTCTTCCATTGCAGACACTGCAAAGCTCCAGGCAGACATCAACCAAATCTTTCAGTGGCTGCAGAAAACAATATGAAGTTCAACGTGAGAAATTCCAATTACTCAGATATGGTAAACATGAGGAAATTAAATCTTCATCAGAGTACAAAACAAATTCTGGCCACAAAATAGAGCGAAACACCAACGTCAAAGACCTGGGAGTGATCATGTCGGAGGATCTCACCTTCAAGGACCATAACACTGTATCAATCGCATCTGCTAGAAAAATGACAGGATGGATAATGAGAACCTTCAAAACTAGGGAGGCCAAGCCCATGATGACACTCTTCAGGTCACTTGTTCTATCTAGGCTGGAATATTGCTGCACACTAACAGCACCTTCAAGGCAGGTGAAATTGCCGACCTAGAAAATGTACAGAGAACTTTCACGGCGCGCATAACGGAGATAAAACACCTCAATTATTGGGAGCGCTTGGGGTTCCTAAACCTGTATTCCCTGGAACGCAGGAGGGAGAGATACATGATTATATACACCTGGAAAATCCTAGAGGGACTAGTACCGAACTTGCACACGAAAATCACCCACTACGAAAGCAAAGACTTGGCAGACGATGCACCATCCCCCCAATGAAAAGCAGGGGTGTCACTAGCACGTTAAGAGACCATACAATAAGTGTCAGGGGCCCGAGACTGTTCAACTGCCTCCCAGCACACATAAGGGGGATTACCAACAGACCCCTGGCAGTCTTCAAGCTGGCACTGGACAAGCACCTAAAGTCAGTTCCGGATCAGCCGGGCTGTGGCTCGTATGTTGGTTTGCGTGCAGCCAGCAGCAACAGCCTGGTTGATCAGGCTCTGATCCACCAGGAGGCCTGGTCTCAGACCGGGCCGCGGGGGCGTTGACCCCCGGAACTCTCTCCAGGTAAACTCCAGGTAAACTCCAATACTGAAACTATGTACTGTGCCAAAACAAAAGCATTCACATTGCTAAACTCACAAACTAGTATTTAGTCACTTAGCCATAATACCAACTTACCTCATAATTTGTAGTATTTTACAATTAAGAATAAAACTAAGTATGCCCGAAATGCCTAGCCATGCTAAGCGTTCTAGTGGTACACTCTGTAATCACAATTTTACTACATGTAAACCAAACAATAACCAAATTTCTGTAAACTCAGCATTGTAATCCTTATAGAGAATAAACTTTGAATTTGGGGCCTAGTTCCTAGGCCTTTTGTGTATCCATATGCTCTCGCGCTACCGTCCACAGGATGGATATGGGGTGCACAATAAACTAGCCACTTCGGTGGCAAAATCTAAAAATCACTAGAACGCTTAGCATGGCTAGGCATTTCGGGCATACTTAGTTTTATTCTTAATTGTAAAATATTACAAATTATGAGGTAACTTGTTAACTATCAGTCACACCTGCTCCAGTCATATATTACAAGCTCAACAATATCAATAAATAACTTAGTCTGACTTTTTTGGGGAGTTATCCTGGGTAATTTATCCCAGTGAAAATAAGTAACTTTTTTAGGTTATCCAAGGTAATCTACACATGCTGTTATGTATGACGATTTTATGTAACTATTTATATGTACCTGTACCTGAATAAAGTTACTAATTTCGTGTTACTATATAAGACAGTGTTAGTGAGTCACAAGTGTTGCTGGAGTCAGTAATATTGTCAGTGTTAACAAGGACACAACCACATGTGCCTTAATTACCTTCATTATTAACAGTATTTTTTTACCTGGCAGTGACAAGGACGTTGATTCTCACTAACAACTGTTGTTACAACTGAACTAACATTAATAACTCTTAGTTCAGTCATCACAAACCCAACAAACTACATCTATCATCAAGACCTTCATTAGCCTCTAATTAAACAAATACATTATTATATTTTTGGTATTTGTTGTCTTGGTACAGCATGAGGATTATAGACAATATTTTCACTTTTATTTTCGTAATAATAGTATGTCATGCTGTTGTTGAAGGTGAAATTGAGGAGCAACACAAGAAACCTGTTAGTCAAGTTAAACTTTGTATCCTTTTATAACAAAATAATCGGGAATTACTTCTTTTTGATTATAATAATCGGGAATTACATGTTATTTTTATTTAGTGACTCAAGGTAATTAACTCCAGCTAGCAGACTGAGGGACTGATTACCTTGTCTCCTGTGTGTGGTGTTTCAAGGCTGACAGACTGATTACTACATCATTACCACCTTCGAATATCATTTTTGTGTTAGTGTTGCAGGGTATCCCATGGTGTTGTAGGGTATCCCATGGTGTTGTAGGGTATCCCATGGTGTAGGGTATCCCATGGTGTTGTAGGGTATCCCATGGTGTTGTAGGGTATCCAGTGGTGTAGGGTATCCCGTGGTGTTGCAGGGTATCCCATGGTGTTGCAGGGTACCCCATGGTGTTGTAGGGTATCCCATGGTGTTGTAGGGTATCCCATGGTGTTGTTTACCTGGAGAGAGGTAGGGTATCCCGTGGTGTTGTAGGGTATCCCATGGTGTTGCAGGGTATCCCATGGTGTTGCAGGGTACCCCATGGTGTTGCGGGGTACCCCATGGTGTTGCAGGGTACCCCATGGTGTTGCGGGGTACCCCATGGTGTTGCAGGGTACCCCATGGTGTTGCAGGGTACCCCATGGTGTTGTAGGGTACCCCATGGTGTTGCAGGGTACCCCATGGTGTTGCAGGGTACCCCATGGTGTTGCAGGGTACCCCATGGTGTTGCAGGGTACCCCATGGCTCAGTTGTTAGTGCACTCGCCTCACACACTGAGTGTTCAGGGTTCAATCTCCGGCATGGGTGGAAACGTTGGACATGTTTCCACACACTTACTGATCCTGTTCACCAGCACTGTATGACCCTTATGGGTTTAGCTCTTAGTTATGATTATAATAATAATAATGTCCCTGTTCACCTAAAAGTAAGTAGGTACTTGGGTATCAGCCACTTTACATCTGCTGTCAAAGACCTCTGTAAATAAGTCACTAACTTTTTTAGGTTATCCTAGGTAATTTACTCTATGAATGATAATTGTATTTATGTACCTGTGCCTAAATATACTTACTACTTAGTCCCTGTTCACTTAGCAGTAAGTAGATACCTGGGTGCCAGTTGACAGGTGCGAGTTGCATCCTGTGTGACAAGCTTGAAGGAAATAAGACAGACAGTCCTCAGTGACACACTGACTTTATTGGGTTATCCTGGGTGGCTAACTCTCTGGGTTAAAAATGTGAACAAAATCTTATCTTACTGTAAAAATAAATACACCAGTGTAGCTTTATTACCAAAACATTTTGCTTGTGCAATAGAGCACTTTAAATTTTTGTCACTGTTGTCCTCTTTGTGATATTCTATGACCACTATTCCACAACCTGACTTTTTTGGGTTATCCTAGGTAATTTACACATGAATGATAATTGTACTTATGTGTACTTGTGCCTAAATAAAGTTACTTACGTACTTAGCAATTACAATAATTTGTCAGTGTTCATTACATACGAATGAGTTCATTACATGCTTAAGTAGCATCTTGCAAGATGATAAACTTAAATGTGTAGAGGTACATGTATTAATGATGCAATGTATCAATTAAAGTGAGAAATTAAATGCTTAGAATGTACTCAAGCAAGTTATAAATACAGTGGTACCTCGAATTTTGGCCGAAATTCATTCCAGGAGGCTGTTCGAGTGCCGTTAACGAACAAATTTGTTCCAGTAAGGAGTAATTTAAATTAGATTAGTCCATTTCAGACCCACAAAAATACACTTACAAAAGCACTTACAAAAATACGTAATTGTTCGAGTTGAGAGCTGTTCAAAATTCGAGTTACCACTGTAGTTTATTAATTTCACCTTGTGTTAAATGTACTTGGTGTTATTTCTGCCCTTTTTTAAGCTGAAAATTTACCACTGTTGAGGGAAATACAGAGACATAGCTAAAACTTGCATCATTAATGGCAATTTGTAATTTTCAATTTACCATTTTTCCCCAGTATTGTTAGCATTGTGTAATTCTCCTTAACCGGTATGCAGTCCAAAGTTTGTTTCAGCAGAGACGGGCAGAACACAAAGCTGCTTGTGAAACAATAATGAACATGGGGAATTTCATAAAACAGCAAAAAATGGTGGACATCCTTGCAAGAAAAGCATTTGAGGTGAGTTCAGTTCATGTACAGTACTGTAATTCCTGTTTATTTGGTTATTATTTTATACTGCATTACTGTACTATACTATATTTCTTATTTCGTATCAGCAGCAGCTGTTGTTCTCTAGTACAGTACGGTAGTAGTACTGTATAGGTACAGTCCTTAAAACACAGTTCCCTTACACCCAGAATTCTCTCAAAATAGGTTTTTGAAATACAATACGTATTATAATTAAAATTCAATAAAATAAAACCATGATTTAACAAACCAGTGGGGAAAATTTTCATTGTCATTTAAATCTTAATAGGGTAATTATAAAAATTAGTAAAAAAGCACTGCAACACTATACATTTATACATAATATAGTAATATAATCACAATTTACAGATATACTGTAATAAACATTGAAAACTTTGTAATAGGTATTGGGACAAAATCAAGTGACGTTAAGAGAGGCAGGTTACATCCCAGGAATGGATTTCCCTGAAGATGAGAAAGTACGTGATGGTAAGTTTCTTACTTGATCTTTGTTCATTTTTGTGGAGCTTAGCTATCAAACACTGAAGAGCCTGGACCCATATATTGCCTGATTAAGGAATACAGTAGTCACAAAATTCTAATCAAGGAATGGAGTAGTCATAAAATTATAATCAATGAATACATTAGTCATGAACTTCTTTGAGTGACACAGTACATGTAGTCACAATCTTCTACTTTCGTTATGCAGTAGTAAATTCAACTTATGAATGGCATATATCAGTATCCACTAAGTTTTATGTTTGTGTGTATGTTAATAGCTCAGATTCCTGTAATATTTCTTTTCCAGCCTAGATTGCCTTGTTTTTGATTGGTTTATGGGGACAATGATCCCCAGAACTGTTAACTCATAACAAATAGCCTCTTAATTCAGTGTTAAGATTCTGGGCAGACTGTGATTTAGCAGACTGGAAATTAAAAATTCTTATTGATCTTTGGGAAGAAATGAAGAATTTTCTGTGACTTTGACACTCCCTCACTCTCTCTCTTTTCCTCATGAAAGACAATAAAATTTCTACCGTTACTAATAATAATTTAAGTGTGACTAAAATTAAAACAGCATTTGCCAAACTGAGAAGCAGTATCTATATGTATAATGGAACTACATATTATTGTTTTTAATAGGTACTGTGCGGTATGACCCTATGGGTGTGGCACTGCTCCAGGAATATAATAATAATACTGCTTTTAATAGCATGATCTCTGACCCATGGAATTTGCACTATCATACTGCATTGTATTTATTTATTTTTTATTTGGACATGATGCATAGTTGTACAAAGAAATATAGTAGTTGGGTGTACATGCCAAAAGCCCCTTGTATGCAGAGCATTATGGGCAGGCTTAAAATTAACTTAAGATTAACTAAGTAATGATATATTCTGTGGTAAAAATTACAGTCAACAAATTACAACATGAAGTACAAATGAGTATTTCAAATAAGAAGCATTAAAGTTATACAAATCTGTAGCATAACATTGTATAATATAATTGAATCAGATCGAGTAAAATCAATGATTTGTAGTGCAGAAACAGGTCATGTGGTCATTAGATGTGTTACTGAACATTCAAGGGAATGGAGTATTACATTACATAATGTAGTTAAAAAAAAACATGGTTTGATAGGGTCACAGGTTATACATTTATGAGATTCAGTTATTTAGTATTTGTTTAGTTGTGGTTGAGTGTACATTATAAGTACTGAAGAGGGTCTCGAACTCTGAAATATACAGATCCTGTGTCCTGTATTGTATTTTTGGTATTTATTTGTAGTAGTATATTATGACCTGAGAGTAAGAAAGACTATTTATTGGTGTCTGGAATACAACCTTGTTTTTCCATATATCTATAAAATTTTATTTGTGCGTCTTTCCATAAATGTATTTCCAGCACAGATCAAGAGCTTAGTATACAGTATTCAAAATGTTCAAAGTTTACATTAAAAATGTTACACAGGGTACATTAATTAAATTGCACATTTATTCATCTTTCATTCTCGTGTTCATATTTATGTACTGTACCTTGTCATCTTCTAGTTTGCTATTTCATCGTTAATTATAAGTAGTACAGTGTGGTGTCTCATTCTGTTGATGAGGTTTTATTCAGAAGTGAATGTGGAAATAAGTAATGATGTACTATTTGATTTTCTGGGACTAATATAGGTGTATATATTTAACATCAATTTATGAATATAAGAATGATGTCTCCCTTTTAAATTAATAAATGTGCAAGTCTAAGCCAGATATAGTGAACCTGAATAAAATGTTGTTATTATTACATGTATATAACTGAATCTGTTGTGTATTAATGTCAGCAAGGCATGGACAGATTCAGGAATTGTCCAAGGGAAGGCTGTCCTATGTATCAAGGAAGGGGCATAATAGCCCACTAAAGGCATAATTTTTTATGAATTAGTATTTTTTAATGCCATATGTTGATTTTTATACCAAAAGTAACAATATCTTTATTTACTACAAGTACATGTACATGGTATACAGGCCTAGCTGACATCAATGACATACTACTATATAGAAAGCCCCTTGCTATGCTGAGCATTTCAGACAAATTAGGTCAGTTTTGTCCCAGGATGCGACCCACACCAGTCCACTAACACCCAGGTACCCATTTTAAACTGATGGGTGAACACGGACAGGGACAGCAGGTGTCTTATGGAAACACGTGGTTCACACTTACACTCACTCACTCATTTGACCATAAACAGAAATATTAATCTCAATCTTAAAATAATGAATCCTGTGATACTCCAATACTGAAACTATGTACTGTGCCAAAACAAAAGCATTCACATTGCTAAACTCACAAACTAGTATTTAGTCACTTAGCCATAATACCAACTTACCTCATAATTTGTAATATTTTACAATTAAGAATAAAACTAAGTATGCCCGAAATGCCTAGCCATGCTAAGCGTTCTAGTGGTACACTCTGTAATTGCAATTTTACTACATGTAAACCACACAATAACCAAATTTCTGTAAACTCAGCATTGTAATCCTTATAGAGAATAAACTTTGAATTTGAATTTGAATTTGAATAATGTTTTCCAGCTGTACCGGAAGAGATTCAAACCCCGGACCTCAGTGTGTGAGCTGAGCTACGGAACACATGAGTAATAACTCTGCAAATTGAAAGATTTTATTTTGGCCCCCAAAAAAAGTATCTTTCAGAGAGGCCATGAGAGAAAGCCATGGCCCCCTGGCTGCCCTTGGATTCACCCCTGCAGTATGGCCTTAATTTCAGTATGCAGAGTAATAACAAAATTTCAGTTTGTCAAATCCCTACATACATACTGTGTTTGATTTCATATGTTAATACAGTACAAACACAGTATTTTATAATAAGAGATGCCATTGTTGTCATCCTTGTGTGTGTGTACTTGCCTGTTTGTGGTTTTAGGTGTTAGTCTTAGCTCCTGGCCCCCACCTCTCATCTTGCTGCTTGCCAAATTGACACTCTTCTAGCCTCTTGAACCCTATGGTACCTGTTCTTAAAATTGTGTGGAGGCTGCCTTCAACACTGCTTCATCAAGGTCATTCCACTTCCCAACCACCCTGAGGTTGAAAAAATACTTCTGACATCCCTGTGACTCGTCTGCATCTTCATCTTCCGGTTGTACCCATGAGTACCTGTTTCCTGTCTCTCAAACAGCCTGTCCTTGTTTGCCACATCATTTCCTCTGAGTATTTTGTATATTATCATGTCTCCCCTGGTCTTTCTGTCTTCCAGGGTTGTTTGATTCAATTCCTTTAGCCTTTTCTCATAGCTCGTGCCACTTAGCTCTGGAACTAGTTTCATTGCATGCCTCTGTGCTTTCTCCATTTTCTTAACTTGTTTCCTCAGGTGTGGGTTCCATACTGGTGCTGCATACTCCAAGATGTGTGTGTTTATGTAATCACATTTTTATCTGCTCCTTCAAGGGAATGCCTTGATTTTAGCAAAAGGCTCTTGATCTAAGAATTTTGAGCTCCACTTCCCTTCCTTGCATCAGGCTTGATTTTCCATCATCCCTCCCATTTCCCATGTCCTGTATTAAGGATTTAGAGCTTCCTTTTTTGTTGTTTAACACACCAGCCATCTCCCACCCCACCAAGGAAGGCTAAAAAAAAAAAAAAAAGAAGAAATGCTTTCACACAGTTTTTCTTCTTTTTATATTTAGTAATTTATACAGGCGGCATTTTAGTCGCCTCTTATGACACGCGTGGTTTACAGAGGAGGAATTCTTCTTCACTTTCTCTTGGATTTGGAGCTTCCTTATAAATATAATTATTATTTGTGCAGCTTTGTCTCAGACGCTGGAGAACACGGCTTTCATGGGAGAGTTACTGCTGCATCTACCTGACATAATGCACAGTCTTCTACGAGATCACAAACCTTGGCAGCTGGTCTTCACTTGGGGAGCATTCTTTGCAACACAGTCCAAGTTCCTGGATAAAAATACTAACAAATTTATTCACTTGGTATGTATCATTTAAACATTCATCAAGTCAGTTTGTGATAAGCTGGGCTGTGCTGCATACTGGAAGATGAGTTCATTTAGAGTTGTGTTAGGAAACAGTGAATATGTACAGCATTACAGTAAGGTTCCATTGGGTGAAATTTATGCATCCATCCCCATCAGCCTGGTTGATCAGGCCAGCAAAAAATAGGTTTGGTTTGGGACTGGGCCAAGGGGCCGATGACCCTAAGTTATTATAAGGAAAAGGAAAGGTACTGTATTTATAAAGGAAATAGTCTGAGACTTGAGCCTTCTATCTGCAGATAAGAAATATTACCAGAACAGTGGGAGATGTTTTCCAAGGAAATTGACTTGTTACCTGGTAAAAGTACCAAATCAGCTGGATTGAGGTGGCTATGTTGGTCTATGGGCCCCTAGCAGTAACAGAGTTGTTGGCCAAGTACTTAATAATGAGGTCTGACCTGATGATGGCCTTCAAGAGTAGAACTACTCTCCAGACCAGTCACAGGAATGTGAAGGATACAGTAATGTCATTCTACCACTTAGTTTTTGAAGGAGAGTACAGCACTCATGAGCTCAGTCAGTGTGGGTATAAGGAAGCACTTTTTGTTTAGCTAAGTGTAACTATTCACATGCAACGTTGTAAGAATGAATATTATAATTATGCAGATAACTATGAATCTTTTTTTCTTATCAAACTGTTCAATCACTTCTAGATACCGCACTTATGAAAAGTAGTTTTGATACACCAGCTGAGTTAGAATAGATTCAGAGATCCACCCTCTGGAGTGGAGGAGAAAAGTTTACTTGGAAGGTGTCTGAGGGCCTGGTCCCAAACCGACATACTGCCATCGAAACATATTAGAGTAAATGATATGGGAGAAAATGTAGAATAAATCCAGTTAAAGGCAGGGGCAACATGGGCGTAATAAGAGAACATTGCATCAACATCTGAGGTCACAGACTTTTTTTTTAACGTTTTGTCACAAGATATCAGAAACTGCCAGAATGTATGCAGAAGTCTGCAAGGGAAAACTACAATTTTCTCCATATGTCAGATCAACCAAGCTGTGATGGATATGTGGGCCAGCCAGTCAATGGCCACAATAACCTGGCTGACCAGACAAGCTTGGCTGAGGAAGTAGAAAAACTCTTTTAACCCATCTAAGATTCTTTGCTTTACTCTGCTCCACCAGTGTGTACTATGGTTCTCCTTTTCTCCTATTTGGCAAGCAGTTGTCAAGACCTGATTTTATTTGGCAGCCCCCTGGATCCTAGTGCAGACTTGCAATTGTCTTGTGCATTCTATGGACTCAGAAGATGACCTCGTGTAATATTGTTGAGCTTTGGAAGTTTGAAAGAGTCTGTGTAGATTCTGTGTCTTATCTTCCCTTATGTCTCCTCCAGATTTGAGTCCAGCTCAGATGATTATTAAAGGGGTATTGGAGCCCAGAAAGCATAGATGGAAGAGGAGGATTTTTCTTTGTTTAAGTGGGTCCAGCAGCCCTCACTTTTCTCCTACCCCTCACACAGAAGTTTCTTTTTAACCACATTGACCATTTCCCTCCCAGGCAGGCTGACAGAAGGATGGACAAACATTCACCATCACTTTCTCAGTATCTGTTGTGCCAGCCAAGCACAAACATGTAACAGAGATGGTTGTTTGAGGAGAATCGACTTTGAGGATAATGTACAAAGAATTACTTAGTGGGAATAAAGTCATAAGGATTGCATCACACTGATAAAAGCTCATAGCCCTTTGTACTACACTGATTGTAGAATGGAATAAAGGATTTCTAGCACCAGTAGTTGGTATTTATATAAGTTGGAGGCAAAATGTTTTCTTAAGAGTCATTGGGCCCTCTTCAGCATAGGAAACTATTTCCTTTATCAAAGGTAATTACTGTTCTGTATTTTAAGCATTTGCATCCTAAATGCTGATGAACCATTGCTTAGTAGTACAGGTATTTTCATTTTAACATTTTATGTGCTGCAATGCCTCATTATAAACATGTATCTAATAATTATCATACTCATATTATCTGAGCTTGCACTTTATATCAGTAACTTAATTTCCACTTCACTTACCAGTATAGTTCCTGAATCTTAAGTTTTAAATATACTGTACTTCTGTTATTTATAGTACAGTGAAATACTAGTATATTTATGGAAAGTGCTCAGCTACTATACAACACAGTAGTGTGCTACAGGTGTTGCACATGCCTAATTCATCAACTTCATATTATATACCTTAACCCGTAAACGGTCCAAGCAGATCTACGTTCACATGTGTAGTGCTCCAAAAGTAGCTCTACGTTTCTTTTACATATTTTCTAATATAACAAAAAAAAAAGTAGATCAAAGTTTTTTACACATTTTCAAATGTAAAAAAACAAAACGATCTACTTTTTACATACTTTCAAATGTTGAAAAAACGTATATATACGTTTGGACCGTTTACAGGTTAATGTAATGATCTAATATATCTATTTGCATTTAATATATGGAGCAATAATAGAACATGTTAACATGCAGGTATCACAAGAATTGGGGATTGTAGAAAAAGATGTGCGGTACACCAACCCATACTCACAGAGTGCTCGACACGAAGTGCATGGAGCTTCAACACCCGCCAATCAGTCACCCACCAGCAAAGCTAAAAAAAAGAAGTTCAGAAAGGGCCCACAACTCTCTAGGCAGTTTGGTGATTTATGATAGTATTTAAATTATCAGATGCTGTATGATCCACAGAGTTCATACTGCCATTGGAATGAGAGATCATTGGGTTAGATCCAAGGAAGAGGAAGATATCAAGAGCCCTTCACCAATATCAAGGTACTTTAATTTTTATTTTTTTCAAGAACAGCTGTCTTCCACCAAGGTAGTGACCCAAAAAAGAGGAAACATCATTCATTCAATTACTGTCTTGCCAGAAGTGTGCTGACAACACAGTTCAGAGGATCTCTGATCTGCAACATCCTTTCATAGTGCAGGCAATGTTTTCCCTACTTCCAGCCCTCAAGTCTGGCTAAACATTTTTCCCTGAATCCCTTGATAAATGTTGCCTTGATCACACTCCAAAACCATGGCATAACCACTTGCTTCCACTCACTCCTATTTAATGCACTCACACAAACCTGTTGGATGTCCAAGCCCCTAGCACTGAAAGCCTTTACACCCTCCCTCCAACCTTTCCTGGGGATAACCCCTAGCCTCCCTTCCCTGCACCCTAGATTTATACTGTATACCTTCCTAGTCATCCTATTCTGCTCTATCCTCTTTAATTCCCAATCCCCGTCAGCAATGCTTCCTTAGCCCCCTGAATAAAGATTTTGGTATCCCCACACCTTCTAATCTCCAAGCTCTGAATTCTTTGCACAATTTTCACACCATACTGCATGCCCTGTATTATTTATACTCACAACTAAGAGTACTTTACTCTATTGCTAAGATTTTTTAAATATGAATATTAAATGTAAACTAAAAGCAATAATTTCTAATTCTCTACTGTATTACATAAAAATATTTTTTTATTAAAAATTATTATCTATAGTTCTTGTTTTCTTGAATAACCAAGGAATGTTATGATACAATAGGACTAGGACTAATCACTATGCCAGACAGGAAATGCAGTAATCTTGGTGTATACTTGTCCTCCTTGATCCTGGTAGGCTGCTCTTGATCTGAGGAATTGGACTTATCCTCCCCATTCTTGGGTCAAACCTGATTGCCTCCCATTTCTAGGCCCTGTGTGACCCCTACAGATTTAGCACTTTCCCTAAATATAATAATAATAATAATAATAATGATGAAGATATGTGTAAAGTTGTCCACCCCTCTAAACCTTGATCAGTATGATGGGCATGTTGAATTAGATGTAAGTCAAGAAGCAACATCAGCATACAAAATCATTGACAATTAGTCAGCTTGATGATGATGATTTACAGCTTGGTTCTTTGCCATATCCTCCCTCTTCTTTAGGAGGTATATGTAATGTTCCTTAAGAAATACCAGAAGCAAATGGCCTGGTGGCAAAAGCTCTCGCTTCACATGGTGAGGGATCCGGGTTTGATTCCCGGCAAAGGGGTGGAAACATTGGACGTGTTTCCTTACACCGTCTGTCTTTGTTCACCCATCGATAAAATGGGTACCTGGGTGTTAGTGGACTGGTGTGGGTCGCATCCTGGGGCAAAACCGACCTAATTTGCCCGAAATGCTCTGCATAACAAGGGGATTTCTATATAGTACTATGTCATTGATGTCAGCTATGGTCTATGTACTGTGTACAGCCATACATGTACTTGTACTGTAGTAAAATAAAGATATTATTATTATTATTATTATTATTATTATTATTATTATTATAACTACATTATCTGGGGTATGCAAATGCAAAACACCAATTCAAATTTTTTAAATAAAATTCAACAAACTAGTTTTAATTAAAATGTGTTAAATTGGTAAGTAAAAATCTAAACTAACAGAAGTAAACTGAATACTTACAGTCTGACAGTTAGTCTGACTGAAATGCTCAGGCATGCTAGTGACTTTCTTTGTGCTTAACAGTTTTTATAATGTAAACTCACATTGTATACTCAGAAAGAAATAAAGTTTTATTTGTATCTCATATTTAGTATCTCCATGGGGAAGTGGAACAGAATTCTTCCTCCGTAAGCCATGCGTGTTGTAAGAGGCGACTAAAATGCCGGGAGCAAGGGGCTAGTAACCCCTTCTCCCGTATAAATTACTAAATTTAAGAGAAACTTTCGTTTTTCTTTTTGGGCCACCCTGCCTTGGTGGGATACGGCC